TGGGCGAACTTAGTGAACGCCAGACGTTACAACCGCAGGATCTCATTACAACTAAGGTGACCTTCTTAGGCCTAGAGATAGTATATACTGAAGTCAAGCACCTGGTAAGTTACCGCACTGGAATGAAAGAGCTGGAACAGATGGTGGCGTAATTCTGTATTAGAAGGCTAACCTATGGTGTGACGTTATTGACCGCCCCGAGATCCGATCCCCAGATTAGCTTTTGGTGCCGAATATGGTTGCGGAACGAAGGTATATGGCTTATACCTATGCTCTACCCTCCACCAAAATTTACGTGTGAAATTGTCTCCAACCTAAACCACGTTATTTAGATTGCTTTGAGCAAGACGTGCACTCACTTTATAATCACAGGCGAATTTATTGTGCACGGTCTGAAAATAGCGGCTACCGATGTCATGAAGTTCAAAGCCTGTTTCCAAAAGGTAATTTTCCGCTACCTCTGTACAACCGTGCGACCTATCTCATCAGATTCCGAACTGATGACAAGCCGTCCATACTTGATCTTGTGTTCACGAAAGAAGAAATAGTGGTAGACAGAATAATAACATATACTCCACTAGGTCGCATTTACCCTGTATTTCTAATGGTTAACCATGTATTTTATGCAGAATATCCTGCGGAAAAGGATAAAGTTTATACAGTCATACACTTGAACGTGATTTCTGCGCTAGTTAAGGAGGTGTATTGGACCTTCATATAGGAAAGCTCCTAGAAATCGCCAGGGACACATTTACGCGGACACTCATCGCAGTGGTAACGCATGCGTCTGAGCAGAAATCCTACATCTAAAAGGAGAACTAAGTCATTTCTGAAGCGCGCAATACTCAAATACATGTCCTTCAGGGCCTTAGCATGGGGAGCTCACAAGGACATGCCGAGTTTTGAAATCTGAACTCTATATGTATCACAGCATAAATTCTGTGTGTGTTTGCTCCGCAAAGACAAGGTGGCGCTTCAGCAAGGTTTAATGTAGAGATTTCGCACCAACCACAAACTCTTCTACCAACATGTTAATGACCTTCGTAAGGTGCAACGCGGAATCCCAGCACTGATCACTACTGACGGATGCACACGATTAGCAACGGAAGCAGCCGGTTCCTTACGATTATAACACTCACAAATGTTCAAGAGAATAACGGGACCAACGGTTATCGCTGTTTCTATTGCCCCACCATCTGCCATATTCAATATTACTTTTGCTGCGGTAAGTTTGACAAAGAAACTGTTGTCCCTGGTGCTATCATCTTGCGATTTTCCAGTTACGGCAAAATAAATTTCAAAAAAGCGCTCGTGCACTATGAACCAGATAATTGCAAGCAACAACTGGACTGAAGCAGTTTATTCTGCAGCAGGATTTGATGCCTTTTGCTTGGACTATGCAAAAGCGTTTGATCGCTTAGACCACCGAATTATCCTCCATAAACTTTAGCTCTATGGCGTTTGTGACCCAATTCTGCGTTGGATAGGCAGTTTCCTGCACGAACCTTGTTGGGAAATGAGAGTACGAGGATTCCTGTCTGACGCAAGTGAGATGGAGTGCGGCGTACCGTAAGGCTCGAGCGCCGTCTATTCTTGCTTTCAGAAACGACCTGGCGAGGTAACTTACTTCAGATTTCCTATTGTACGCGAATGATAGCAAGTTATGTTGAGCGATCAAAGAACCGAACACCCACGCAAATCTCCAGCCTGACCTTAGAACGATTTCAACCTGGTCTGATCGGCATACCTTACTGTTCAATGTTAAAAATGTCAAAACGTTACATTGCGCCATGGACATGACTACGTGGATAGGCTTGGGTTACATGTTTTACAAACAACTTCCCAAGAACGAGAATTTGTTGTGCTCAACGAAAGTGACCTTAACTTTTTAAGGCAGTCAGAGGCAACTGATAAGTGATCTAAGCCTCACGTTAGCTTGCTGCGGAGGGTATTCAGAAAATTAGACCCATCTATCTTCCCCACGATGCACAACTCTTACGAAGCGCCCTCACGTTAAATACGTCATCCAAGCTTAACAACCTTAGTTGGAGCAGCTTAGAGGTACTAGAGAAACCACAACGCAGGGTCACAAAGAACGTCAAGGGCCTCCGAAATCTGTCTTACCATCAAAGAATGAAGTCACTGGAAGTTTTTAGTGGCCGCAACCAAAGGTTGCATGGCGACCTGATATTAGTCTACCAAATATTAAGTGACTCTAATCACATATAGCGTCACTTGCCGAAACGCAGCTATAACACCAATCTCATAGGTAATGCTCTACAACGGTGTGCACAGTTTAGCCGCTTGGAATGCCGACGGACTTATTGTACTCTTCGGGTTTGCCAACCCTAGGACTATCGCCCAAAGTTGGTTGTTTCTTCTTTAACCTTGGATTTTCTCGAAACACAATTGGAGCTTGCCCTTGGTCCTCAACATTTCTTTGGCTAAATTGTGCAAACATGGAATATATTAATTATACCTCCAAACAGAATTAGCATGAAACGTAATACTGAGGATGCGGGACAAAAGTGAGTAGTTGTGAGTAAAAGGGAAATTTATTGGGTTTTTGTGGCGATCCGTCTTAGTTTTACTCAAGCAGACAGCCACCACCCATACAGAAAAGCGCCAGCCGCTCGCTTCGTCCCATTGGGACTCGTCAGTATCACGCATTCGAAGAATCCTGCCGGATTCCAAGCCATGAATTTACTCTTGCGACTAAGTGACTTATGCCACTGAGCCATGGGCGACGACAGAATTGAGTATTCTCATTTTAACTTCTTACGATTCTCAAGGAGTACAGCAAAACATCTATCCCCATTTTGTCTCGTCGCTCGCATTCAATTCCCACTAACACTACCATTATTGAGCATAGTATCTCCTAGCTAATATCTCAAAAACACAAGCCACCTACCTTTAAATAACTGTGGTTTTATCCCCAGCATTCGGCAACCATGTCAAGTAACCACCTTTTTACCCGACGCACAACATTTGTTCACAGTCAATTGTGCGCGCGTTGCTACGGATAGTTATCGTTAGCCCAAGTACGCGCATAACGGTTGATGTTGCGATAAACGAATCGTGCCGTTATCCGTTTAACCGATACACAAACGCCTTAGTAAGATAACCTATGCAGCGCATCAAACACTATATGTTGGAACGCGTAATACTACTGGGCGCGGCGCGCCCATTGATGTGTCGCGGAGCAAAGTACTGTGTGACGATGTTAACGGGACAGCTCTGACCTAAGCACGATGATCTATGTAATAAATCTACCAAGGGTCCGTTTTGCTGTACATCTGCCATGACTTCTAGTTGATTGCAGTAGCGGCTTCCACGAAGTTTGCTTAAAAACGCAACACTGCGTCAGGTACGGCTTTGGGCACATGTGAGAAATGGCTTATATTGGTCGTAAACTGAGCGAGACAGTAGCTTGCGGGATTCGATAGGGATTATCAATCGTTTGTCCAGCCGAGAACGTGGGTAAGTGGCTTACGGTCAGTAAGGATGCCAAAGGTGTGGCTCATTTATACCCGTCGAACGTGACGTATCGCGGGGTATATGATTAACAGTTCCTTTATCGAATGTGCGGTAGCGAGATTTGGTTAGTTGGAAGGCGTTAAGAGAAAACACTTGTGGCTACCATGTGTTACTTACATTCGCTGCACCATAGAGCCGACTGCCACGTGTGAGACGCCGCTAATGAGGCATAGAGTGACCGTAGAATTGGCATGTTAACAACTAGGGACAACGTACTTTTGAGGGACAAATTAGTACATGAAATATAAGGATTAGCTTTTAGGTTGTTACAACCTCTAGGTTGCTTCATGAGTAGAATTTTAGGCGTCAGTAGGTTATGCACCATTAGTTCTAAAAAACTCGCGGCCGGTTTGCGAAAAGTGATAAGTGTAACACTGATAATTATTTAGAATTATAATTTGAACTGTGAACAAGAGCAAAAGAAAGCAATGCATTATTTTCTATCAAGGTTGTTATGCCAAGAGCAGCAGTGCAAGGACAGCAAGCACAGACCTTTATCACTGTAAGAGATAAGCTTTCAAAATGATCCCATATGAATGCAAGCATTTTCATGTAACCTAGTCGGCGGTGCAGTATTTGTCAATATTGCGGGATGCTTATCTTTCAGAAAAGCGACTTCCTAACACACCCACTTTCAAGTGAAAAGCTTTCGAATAATTTTGCAAGGTAATCTGCTGGTCTGTTCAACCAGCCTAAACTCAGTCCATCAATTTGTCGCATTAGTCAACCCCGGTAGTCAGTTGTTAAATTCAATTTTTGCTGCCGCTCTGTGGAATGTACGATTATCAGATATTTCTAGATGAATTTCTTCATACCACGAAATAAAGTTGAAATAGATAGGGAGACCGGTTAGTTAAATCAAAACCATTTGTGGGACTAAATAAATGTGAATTCCCAAATTATGCACATCATGATCACGAAAATAAAATTTAAAATCTGCTGCCAACAATCTGTTGAGTTTGTCGTTTTTGGTCATTTAATGTAAGTGATGGTCTTTTGGGTAGGTAACCAAGTCGTGTGTAGAAAGTCAGGGGTGAAGTTACTGAATGCGATCTGCTAAATATTGGCATACACGGCGATTTAACTAAAAAATCGTACGAGGTAAATATGGAGCGTTAATAATGATCAAATAAGATGCGCTATGTAATTGTGTATGAGCATCACGAGATGTAATGCGAAAGTAGGTAAATTGATAATAAGTGAGAGGAAATATTTTAAAAAGTGTACAGTAAATTTACTCCATAAAAATATCTGTAGAATTCTAACGCGCGGTCTTGCGGAAGGTCAAAATTCATGTTAATGTGCTAATCGATGCAGGCGAAATCAAATTGAGTAGGGAAAGGGCCAGTGATGCGGTTAGAAACCAGCTTACATTAAAAGGACGAATAACTGTTGGTCCGTTTATCGAAATTTGGCTTCAAGACATATGGAGCTAACGTGTAGTGGTGCGCCCAGACAATTTTATGCTAGCGTACTTGGAGATGTGGGCTAGAGCAGAGCGCAGGGTAAATTCCTGGGAAACAGATTGATTCCCAAATGCATCTATGGTTTAGACATTGTGGCTAATGAATCTTTATCGAGCATCAGGGTATTTAGAGCCAAAGCGCAGCGGCGCGCAGTAGTCACGGCGTGCAAGAATTTGAGTGCTAAAACACATTGAGTAATGAAAATACCTGTGATTGTAGCCCATGGTTATCAAAGGTTTAAACTATTTTCCGCAACTGAACGTTAATTAAGCATAAGGACATATAAAGCCAAAGCGCAACGCCTGGCGGAGCAAGTATCTTACCTGGTTTGCTAGGATGTATGAAACAGTGTAGGGTAATTAAAGGATCGCCAATGCTGTATCTTGCAGCGCAGAATAAAAAGGAGCAAACGCTTAGGGCCGGTTAAGGTTAACTCAGCAATAATAGAGTTAAAGCAGTTAGTTCCCTTCAACAATTTAAAAAGCACGGAAAGAGTGATACATTTGCAGCTAAATCGCTACGGCACTCATCGTGGTAAGTAATTAAGGTACGCTAGGAATTAATTGCGATCGCAGAATATGTGTGCTGGAGCCGGAAACCCATATATATCAAAGAGTAAAATATCTGTGTTTAGTAAATAGCAACTGAGCATTACAAAGTAGGGATAAAGCGCTGCGATGCGCATAAATACAAGTTGTTCTAGCTTAATGGAGACAAATAGCTGAGACAGAATGTGTAATCATAATGCTTGTGATGAATTGAAAGCTAGTATACTGCAAAATTTCAGATTATGTTATGAAAACATTGTGTTTAGACGTGAAGATATTTAAGCTTAATATTTATTGCTACGCTAGCACGGAAATCCTTCTGGCTTGCGCATTGTGAGTGCCTGTGACGGCCTTTTATGCCGGTTACGCTAACAAAGTAGTACAACTAAAAAATTGGCATGGGCAGCTCTAAACGGTGATGGGCTGATACGATAGTTTATGGATGCCATGTTTATAAGGCCTTTTGACATACTCCTACAACTGAGGAGAACATATCTGGAGCGTTAGAAGAGAAATGCAGTTCTGATAGAATTTTAAGAGAAAAGTAGTCAAACGTCGATTAGAAGTCAAGGGGCATAGGATACAGTAAAGTTGGGGACGTACGTTGGATTGCCGTAAGCCGTGGCAGTTTAATTGAGTGTCTTTGACTTACCAGGAAGAAGGACATGTTACCTGATGTCGGGATGGACGTCAGTGTACCTAGAATTATTTAATAATATTTTATACAATTAAAATATGAAGTAATATCTCGAAGTATTCAATGCGAAATAGTGGGTTTAAATAGATAATTAAATAGCTCCGGCAGCTACAAGTTCAAGTTAAAGAACGAAATTTTTCGTCTACCCAGTTTAATGAATACAACGAAGGAAAGAATGGCGGTATTGAAGAGGCAGATATAGAGTAAATCCATTCTTTTTTATATGATATTTGAGCAGTGATGATACGCGGGTAATTATTTTGCCAAGCTTGACGCACGTCCATGAAATCCGTTGACAAAATATTGTTTAACTAAAACACATGACGTAACTTTAACATGCAAGGATGCGTACGAATGGGTGAAAAACAGGATGCGTGATCTTTCTTCAATATTCCCTGCAACTTGGAAGCCTAGCTCCTTATCGTATCGATCGTTCAAACAGCTTAGCTTCATTGGTTATGAGAAAACATAATTTAGCGTGATTTGTTATTTACCGATAGATTGAACAGCTCTTCAAGGATGGTGTAGGTAGTTGCGTACAACGGTGTATCGACAAGATTCTCGCTAATTTGCAAAATGAAATTCAGTTGTGGAAAAATATTTTTGCTTTTTATTTACAGCCATCATACATTTGTAAACAATGAATGGACACATGAGTTTAAATTGTAATGGTGTATCTATTTGTCAGAAATAATAGTTCAGGTTTACTCTTCGCAGATAAAGATAAGGGAGTCCCGGCAGGTTACACCTATAGTGATATGTTGCAATGATGGTTGAATAATATTATCTAGACTGAATATTTGATGCGATAAATCAGATGTCAACAAATCCCTATTGTGCTTGGGACAATATGATGAGAAAGAATAGAAATTGGAGCATAAGGAAAACTTCGCAGCTAACGTAGCTTTGGGAACGATTATGAATTGCTACTTGAACCTAAATCAATCCTTGCTTTTGATAGCTAATACCGAGCAAAGGTCCACGTCATAAGTATTTGTGTGACACAGCTGCATGTGTGGTTAATCTTCCGATTTCCTGTGATGTATTTAAAATATTGGTTTAATCGAGTCATTAATATCCAGCAAATATTCAGGTAAGCTTGGCGGTGGACCCTTGTGAAGCAACGAGTAATCCCTATCAAAGAACTTTATTAAAAAGTAAACATGCCCTAATGTTTCTCTTATATTACATTAAGAAAGGCAAAATTTAAAAGGCTACTCAGAAAGAATCTTATTTTAATTAGTGGAAAATTTTATCCTGCTGTCTTCCTTATTTCTAAAGCAATTTTTTATGAGTTATGGTAAATCTGCGCAAATGGGGGGTGATACCCGTATTTTAACTGGATGGTAGATAATTTGACTTACCTAGGCAATATTAGCCTGCGTAAAATGATGCACTTGTACTAAATTCATAAACGCAACGGTGTTACGTAATTCCAAACGGAATGACTTGCCAATGGGCCTTTTAAACCATTTTAAGTTTCTAACATGATTTGCAAACTGAGCTTCTAAAATATCAAATTTGTTTACGTGGAACACAAAATTTTGCATATAATAATAGAAAGTGGGAACAACACGGGATAAAAGCAACACATACGTGAGAATTAGAATTTGTGTTTAGCAATACTTTACTGCAGGTAATAACAGCAGACCTAACATTTGCTGCGGGAAACTCACTTAATTTATTAATAAAATATGTATTACCAAGTGCATTTTAATTCAAAATCTAAAGCGTTCCTGTAGTTTGGTAACCAAATGAGCAATAATAGAGAGCGCCTGCTGCATGCTGTTTTGCTCTTATGGATAATGTATTGAATACTGTTCGAGAAAACGGATACTCTATGCAACTGAGCGTTCGGAGCAAATATAAAAGGTATGGAATGACTATAAAATTAGAGCAAGGATATTGCGTGACAATATAATATCGGCTGGTAACAATTATATGAATTGTATAATTAGTCAAGTATAGTAGGCTTGCACTAGTGCAGATAACAGAAAACCGGCAGGTAGGTCTAAACGGATTGTATTCGATAATGATTATATGCGAAGTTTCTTGTTGTAACAGACCATAGACAAAAATTGATAATCCAGGAGTAGGTAAAATTTACGGTATTGTCGGCAATTAACCAAAAGATGATAGTGTGCGCTTAAGAACAATTACATGAAATAAAAATAAATATATGTTAGGTAGACACATAGCACTATTCTATACCATTTTACACGCATATTAGCGTATTGTACCAAGCTTTTAGCGTGGTTCATTTTACATAGCACGTGCAGTACTTTCAAGTTAGCGAGGCTGAGAACGCTGTTTTGGCGTCCTTGACACTCATTGATCATGGGACGTAAACCAATGGGACACCGGTTAGAAGCCGCCAGCATAAACGACAGACAGTTCAATGAAAGTAGTCGAGCACGACCTTCCGTTCTGCCCTGATGCCCCTCGGAAGTAAACCTCGATGATTGTATCAAATTTGAAACCGACCAATAGGTAAATTGTGATGCTTGTCAAAGAAGAAGAACCTGGCCACATTATCCGAAGATTAAGACGTAACCAGTGTGGACAGATATACTAAGCAGCACACGAAGCGGTCTATGTCAATCACTGACGGCTACCTAATGGTGGCTTATTCAGCGGCCTAACCATGATGGCGTAGACAGGCAACCATCTAACTCGTATTCCACAGTACAGCAATGGCTGCTAGGCGGTTATACAATTGTGTGCGAATGTCATGGTAACGATCATGGGGGACATGGTACCCACAGAAGTTAGTAGACCAACGTTAAGCTGAACAACGAAAATTCTGAGGTTGCTTAATTCGATCACAGTTGATGACTCAAAAAAATAATGGGATTCCAAGTGTGGCGTTGACACGACGTCAGTGAATGTTCGTTTGTCTCCATACCCATAGGCGAAAAGTTAATCAGTTATCGCTTCAGAGTCTCCATGTACTGCGTTAACTAAAAGTCATAGGAACCTATGAATTCTTAGGATAATTAGGTTGCACTATCATATGGTCGCCCATGGTGAAGTAGACAAAGAATAATCTCACTGGTATTCTGCCGTTCAGCAATGGCTACTCGGTTGTTATACAATTTTGTGCGATTGTTATTGCGACGATCATAGGGGACATTGTTCCCATTGAAGTTAATAGACCAACCTGAAGTTGAACAACGAAAATTGTATGTTCGCTTATTTCCATCACGGTTGATGGCTCAACAAAACGAGACAGGATTCCAAGTGTGGCGTTGACACGACGTCAGTGAGTGTTCGTTTGTCTCCTAACCCATGGGAGACTTCGTTAGTCAGTTACCACTTCAGTGTCTCCGTGTATGGCGTTAGGTAAAAGTCATCGGAACCTATGTATTCTTAGGATAATTAGGCTTCACTTCCATATGATCGCCCATACGTGTTGAGACGAGTTAACAAGTGGCTATCCAAATGAAACCATTATAAGCACAGTCAATGCAGATGGAGCATCTCTCTACGTTAATGGATTGGCATGCTCACCTCAAGAAATCGGCATTACCAACAAAGTAACGCTTAATGGGGCCACAATGACTACGTTTTTTATACATGCCACATCGTCCTGCTGGAAAGAACGCAAGACTTATGATTAGTTGCGACGCAGACATGTTATTCTGGTACTTATGGTGAGTACTTGGAACAGATAAACACTGTTGTCTCGCCCACGGGCGTTCCTACGATGTGTTTGCAATCATTTACAATGGCAACCGCGCCTACTAGGCCTGCTATGGAACACTTTCTTCAGCTAGTTTTAGAACCATTCATGT